AAGTGATCTTAGGAAACCCTCAGTTAAGGAACGGTGAAATGTTCGTCACTTTGAGAAGTTCATAACTCGAAAATCAAGTTTCAATGTATTCGCAATACAATTTTAGTTCAGAGTTGGGCAAATTGATCACTTGCTTATTATTAGTTTCTGTCATTGTGTATTTTAAAAAATAGCTCTAGTTGGGATTTCATAATTAATATACATTTAAAACAAAAAAACAAGATTAAAAATGGGGGATCTTAAACATATTTTTAAAATTTCTATACAAATGTATAAATTTATAAGTATGAAGGAATTTTTTAAATGAAGAAATTTAAAATTATTTCGAATTTATTTAATTATTTTTAAAATAAATTCTTTCAAAAATTTCCAAAAAATTTTTACAATGATTTTGATTCGTAAAAAAGATATTAGTTATTCCGTGGGCCTTAGATCCCCTTCAACTAATATTTCTAAATTTGGATAATCAGAATATAGAAAAAAAATCTTTGAAAATTTTTTTAAATTTTTTGTTTAGCTCTAGAAGCTAACTTCCTATCCACAATCAGGCTGGTGTCCAACTATGGCTAGCAGAGGCCCCAAAAACATCTATTCCAAAATACACAAATTATCAAGTAAAGCTAAAAATCTTTTATATTCTTTGCCTTGTCCTCTCTTTAATTTTTTTAAATCTCGCTAACCCCAAAAAATGGAACTAGAATTTTTCTATAAACAAAAACTTCCTCGTCACGAAAACTATTCCCTTTTATTTCCTTTTAGTTCGAGACACTTTTAAACAAAAAACATTCAAAAATAAATTTTAGGGAGATGGCAGAGATTAATAAAAATGCATTGAAAAAATATTTTAAAAAGAAATATTTTCTTTTTTCCCTAAAGGGAACCAAACCCAACAACTTTTCGTTTATTTTTTGCTTTTTTTTTATTTCTATAAATATTTTTAAGAGGACTAAAGTCTTTTTTGTCTTGAAAATATGTACAGAAAATAGTCAGAGGGGGTTTTTAGCCATTATAGTATCTTTTAATTTTCGGATTCGATTTTTGCGTTAACTTCCTATCGGCTTTCTTTTAAATAACCTCTCAATTAGATCTACAAAGGATTGATCTTGAAGGAATTTTTTTAAAATCTCGATAACTCAAAATATTCGGTCTTCAAAGGATTGTTAACACTTTTGCTTCTGTTCCGACTTATTATGGCGGAATGGAAGCAAAACCATACTCGGACTACTTTTTTTCGATTTTCTGTTATTTAAATTACGGAATACCCTTTCTCGTCCAACCTATATATTTTTCAACACTGCAAAAACCTACTTTTATTATGTAGAATAGTTTCTAGAAAATTTGTTTCAGAGATGGTTCGAGTTACCCAAAACTATACACGGACTTCTTTTTTTGACCCGGGACTTCACCCATCTTTAATTTATAACAATAGAGAAAAGCAATTAATTTTCTGTTTATTTTTTAGAAGAAAAACATTAAAACATAGGCACATTCAGTCATTTTTTTATTTCCAATTTTCATTGTTTTTTAATGCTTCTCTTTATTTTAATAGCTTTTTTACACTTTTTTAGGTCATTACACCAACATTTTAATCCACTTTTACGCTTTATTATACTCATTAAAATCCTCCAATTTTCTCCATTCTCTCGAGGCATTGAAAATATATAAAGAAAATAAATTTAATTATATTTTATATTTTAATTAAAAATAAATAGAAAATTAAATAACAACAAAAAATATGGAAAACAAGCATAACTTTGCAGAAAAGCGACAAAATCTGCTTGTTGAAAATTCTGAAAATGTAAATTTTAAGGTCCTTAGAATTTTGAGTTATATTTGAAATTTACACTAAAATTAAACTTAGTTTGAACTCGAAGAAAATATTAGATTTATCAGTAACCTACTATACGCAGAACTAGAATTTCCTTTGAAATTTGCCGTTTGCCCTTGTATCTAGAATTCGGAAAAACTCAGCCTATATAAAAATATTTCTTTTTTATCTTTTATGCTCAAAATGTCTTTAAAAAATTTAACTCCGACTATAATAATAATAGTCAATTATTACCATTAGTGACCGGGCCGGACTGGATCCGGCCGGATTTTTCCGAAAAAATCCGGCCTGATCCGGTCCGGTTCAAGTTGCAAATCCGGAATCCGGTCCAGAAAAATCGATTTTACCGGTCACTAATTAACATTATAATTACCATTTTAAGCTTCGAAACTAAAAAAATATTCAAATCGGAATTTGAAAATTGAAATTTCAGAACAACTCTGATTATAAAACTGGCATAAATTTGTATTTATATTTTTTAGAAAGAATTTTCAACACCAGCAGCAATAAAAACATCCATTTCCCATAGACCTTCTCCATACCTGCGAAGAGTTCGCCTTCCAAAACTTGACTTTACTATAGCTAAAACACCCTCTACAACGTTTTCTTTTAAAAAAGAAAACAAAAATGACGAAGATACTGATTTTTATGATAAAGAATTACCTGAGGATTTAATTTCAAAAATTAAATTGATACAATTAAAGAATGAACAAATTTTTATTGAAAACCAAAAAAGGATTGGGAATGTTAATGAAAGGATAAATAATGTAATTTTTGATATATAAATTTGGATATAGGCTAAAAATATTTTTCGAATTGTGACTTCGCATATAAAGACTGAATGTTTTAGGAAATCATTTTAGAATATTCAGGTGATTCCAGACGTCTTGGGAATTCATTCCCAAGGCTTTTGTTCCTTTAGAAATGGCTCTAATCCCACTGCTCATGGTGTATGAGCAAGACTTATGAGTAAAGGAATAAAAGTTTATCAAAAATTGAATGTAACAATGTAGCGGTGGTCGAAGGAAATCAGATATTATCGGGGCTGGTATGATCTAATTTGACTGACGCTAATACTTTTAGTTTGTCGGAATCGGGAATTTTTTAAACTGGTTAAATTCGAACGTAAATATCACAGGGATTTTTGGCCGATTTTTAACGTTCTGCCTTTGGCTTTTTTTTAATTCGAAAAATTGACGTTCAACGCAAAATAGCCCTGGTAGCTAACTCCAAACCTTTAAGCAATTAATTACAATATAATTCTAATTCATTTTATTTTTTAGTATAAACCAAATGAACTATCAAAGACAGATTTAGTTGTTGATATAAAAAACAGAGATTTAATTAATTCTAATAAAATATCTTCCTCTATAATTAAACAAAAACGATCAAGAAATAATCGAAGGTAATTTCAAAATATTAATTTTTATTAAAATTAAATTAAATATTTTCAGTATTTCAGCCAATCCAAAATTAAAAACGCAATTTTAGACGACAGATACATATTTTAATTTTATCAACTGGATTTTTAAATTTCGGGTTACGTTCTTTTTTGTTATATAAATTAGTTTACAAATTTAGTAAAAGATTATTTTCATAAATTATTTATAAGATTTTTAAATTAAATATTTATTTTTCATAATATTTTTTAATATAAAAAATGTTATAAAAAATAAAATAACTAAATAAATTAAATACGCTTTAATTAAATATGCCCTCGCAGTAAAAGGTATAATAGGTACTATATGTACAGTAGATATTCCCTTTTAGAGTTGAAAATTTCGTATCTTTTAATGAAGGGTATGAACGATGTAGTGTTCGGCAAATGGATTTTTTCGGTACCGGTACCGGGAGTACCGAAAAGTACCGATTCGGTACTTTCGGGAGTACCGAACCGTGCCGAACACTAGTACGAAGCAAGGATCTAACCGACAAAAATTCAATTACCAATTTTCGGGAATAGGGTCGGCTAGATCCCTGGTACTTAGCTTGAGTTGACATCTGTTACCACTCAGTGGTTTATCATATTTAAAAAAACATGTCTTAGGTTCAAGGATTTACTAATTTTAGGATAGTTCAAAATTGTAGATATTTACCCCAAAACATTAATCACTTAATTTTTATATCTCATCATTCTGTGTCTCTGAGCTAGAAAAAGGCGATGTCTATGCCTTAAAATTTCATTCTCCGAAAGCCTTTGATGATTTTGACCTTCACTTCCTTTTTTAAAATCTTCCACATTTGTTAAAGGCCCAATACTTAAAGAAGTCCTTCTCAAAATATTTAAAGAAGGTTTTTCTTTTTTAGAAATTAATTGAAGTTGTTTAGAAGGGGGAATGGGTGGAATTGTTGTTGGACATTGCTCTGTGGTAGATATACAAGATCTGCTTTCGTATGATTTGCCTGAGCATCCTTAAAAATAAGGAGATTACCGTATTATCTCTAATAGAATGGCCCCCTGGAGGATGATCGAAAAATAGAATGGCCACCTCCATTTGAATGGCCCCTTCTAATAGAATGGCCCCCCTAAATTATTTTGAATTTTCCATTTTCTCCAAACTACTCGGTTTAATTTTTTGGTATTGCCTTAATAGATGGAAAAAATATAAGATTATTGCCTTGTGATTGAAAGCTATTATCCTCATAAATACATGTTCTAGAACGCATTTGTTTCCCACAAAAGCATTCCCCCCAATCAGTCCAATCACTCCATTTGGCTGTTGAACCAACTCGAGGAATGCTTCCATCTAGCCATATTGAACCTTTATAAATTGAGAAAATATATTTTTGGAATATTTAATAAATTATCAATTCAAAAAAAAGAAGGAAAATCGCCTTAAAATATTTTCAAAATTACAAAAATTTCAGACTAACAAGAAAGTTCGAATTGGGGTATTTTAAATTTTTGGTATCCACAAAAATCCAAGGATATTTAGAAGAAAGAAATTACTAATTTAGGTATTTTATTTATTCCTATCCAAATTGAAAATAAACTTTTTTGTGCTGGAACATCCTTTTACTCTCAATATAAAGTTGGCGGTTCCTGGGAAATTTTCGGGTATCCAGAATTGGAACCAATAACCAAACCAAAAATTTCCGGGTATCCGGGTTTCTCAGTTCCGGGTACTCGGAACCTCCAACCTTACCTCAATTCCGTTGATAATTCTCAGCTTTAAAATTTTTTTAAAAATAATTCTATTAAAAATTCACCAGGATTTTCAGTCAAAATAATTTTTTTATTAATATTAGTGTTGTTATTTGAAATTAAATTTCCTCTATTATTTCTTCTCTGAATTGAAGTTTTCATAAAAAGTATAGGTTTTGATGTTGTTGTTAAAATTATTTGTTGTTCTTTATTGTTATTTTTCTTCTGAACAAAAGAATTATTTAAAGGAAGCGAGGGCTTTTTAGAAGAAGATAATTGAGGTATAGCAGCTGATGAAACTATTATTTTTTGATCCCCAATTAATATGGGAATAGGTCTAGGATTGTTTAAATGCCTATGGTTTTTATTGTTTTCAATTTTTGTTGGTAAAACAATTTTTGGGGTAGCTGGAAGTTTTGTCGTTGTCTCTCGATTTGGTTGCTGAAATTAATTTTAAAAATTTTTGGATTTTATATTTTCCTAAGTTCAATGTAATAATTGTTAAAAATAACAAAAAGGATTTCAAAAACTTTACGCAAAACTAGACCGAAGGTTGATATGACCTTCGTCAGGATTTTTCTAAAGCAAAAGAGTCACTCATACGGGATTCTTACTTATGAGAATGACCAAAACTCAAATACATATGATGTTCGAAAATTCGTATTTTTAACACCACAAATTTTAAGTTTTATGAGCAAATGGTGAGGAAAATAAAGAAATTTTTTAAAACATTTAAAAGGATATAGATAACCGAGATTTTTTGATCTTGACTAAGTTGGATCTCTTGTTTTAGCAATATTGAGTTATTGTACCAAGTATTTTCCCCGTCCCCGAAAGTCGGGGAATTTGAGAGATTTTTTAAAAATTCCCCGCCCCCATGTGGCGCTGCCTCCCAGAAAATTTATTCCCGTGGCCCTCCTCCCCGTCGGAAACCAACCCTATTAATTACTTAGGTTGTTCCTCTGATATAACGGCATAACTCGGTTAAGTTATCTTCTTATCTTGTGATAAAAGAATTTCTTTCAATTAAATTATAATATTACTCACTTCCTTAGCATCTTTTATTTCCGTTCTTCCTTCATTTCTTTTATGATTTTGGATTTTTTCAACTTTAATTTCAGCTTTTCCTTCATTTTCCCTATTTTTCCCTTCTTCCTTTTCTTCTCCCAAATCATCTTCTTCTAACCCTTCAGTATTTTTCATTCTCTCCAAAACCGCTTCCATTGCATGCATTTCTGCTTTTAATTTTGTTAATTGTTTTTCTATTGTAGTCGATTGTGTTTTTTGTTTTTGTTGATTTTGCTGTTGAAGGATACGCTCCTTACTTTGATCAATTTGGAGTTGCTTTAATTTTTGGGCGGCAACCAATTCCTATGAAGCAAAAATGAAACTATCTTCTATTTTTTTGGTTTTCTATTAATAAACCCAAATCTCGCTATAATCAGCCTAAATCTCGCTTAATCCTTTGATATCCATCTCATTCCCCTGTTATCACTCGATATCCCCTTAATCTAAATAAATCCGCCGAAATAATATTATTTATTGATTTTCCATCCGGAGCCAACATGAATCGTGGGCTGTAAAGAGGCGGATTACTAGGATTTATATGATAAAACTCCGTATATTACTGCTTTAAAAATTACTTGGTTTACTCGAACTCGAGTTTTTCAAACTTGGCATACTCGAGCTCAATTTTTCCTCAATTACTCGGTATCCGACGTAGCTACTCCTTACTACTGCTACTATCCCCTCCATTCTTACCTAACCATTTTTCCTAACCATTATTTTTTATTAAAAATTGTTGAAACTTGCCTTCATTAATCTCTTCCTTTGATTAGCATTTAAATTCCCTCCTTTTTTATTTAATTTATTTTCATCTAATACATTATTGTTCTGTAATATTTTAGCCTTTTCTTTATTTATTTTAGGGTCCTGATTTGTTGTAGTAGATGTTGTTTTTGTTGTAGGAATTGTTGTAGCTGGTAGAGATGTTGAAGAAATAAGATCTCCAGAATCCTCATTTTCCTATTTAATGAGAAGTTTAGGGGGAAGGTGTAAATTAGGGTAGGACGAGACCGTTTAATTCCTCGTTTATCTTTCCCTGTGGCGGTCTTTTCCCTTCTCCCTTCTCTTTTTGACCTGCCAGAGGGGTCAAAAAGTCTCGTTTTAAACGGTCTCGTCCTGTAAATATTGAAAAAAGGATGTAAATCCTCCCAATTCCTTGGAATTTATCTCAAATCCACATCGAATATTTCTAATTAATTATCTTCTTTATCCTTCACCTCCTATTATTACAACCTTCTAGTTGGTTCTCCTAGTAGGCCCAATCAGTTAAACTTCCCGCTATCCCAATACTATTTTCTTCATCCAAAAGAAGTATCTAAACTTCAAGTTATTTATTACCTCCAATTCCCCGGAGTGAAGTAAAGGCCTTCTTCTGTTCTTCACCTTATCTTCATCTACTTCACCCCCTTCCTCCTCATTTTCTTCTTCTTCCTCAATTTCCTGTTCATTTTCTTCTTTCGTATTTTTACCTTCAATTAATTTATTTTTCCGATTATTTGGAAGGATTTGAGGAGGTTGTTGTTCTAATGATTTACTTATTCCTTCAACCATCCATTCCAAAGCTCGGGCTGTATCATTACCGAGATTTGGTGAGATTACTTTCTGTTGTTGATTATTTATTTTTTGTTTTAATAACTCCTTCTTTTCTTTTTCAAGTTTTTGTGGACTGAAATTGCCAAATTTTATTAAATAATGGATTCTTAAACATAAAAATTCTCTTCTCTTAAGCCGGTTATTTAAAAATATACCCCAGAAAGTGTTGGAGGATCCTGATTAGGGTTGTCAAAATGGCCCTACTCGGACCGAAAGATCGAGTCGGGCCTAAGATATTAGGCACGACTCGGCCCGGCCCGACTCGAAAACGGCAACCCTAATCCTGATATATGTATCCGAAAATGTTCGGATATCCGCAAAGTTTCAGTTCGGATCCGGATATCCGGAGATTCCATAAAACCACTCCGGAATTCGAGCAAACACTGTAGTTTCGTATATTTCTAATTAACTGATAATCTAATTGAAATACAAATTTAATATTTCATGCCTTGTAGTAATTCCACGGGCATTATAAAATTCAAGTTTTCTTTGTTTTTCTAAATAATTAAATGTTGTTGTTGGTAACGTTGTTGTTGTGCTTGTAAATAATTCTGTTTTAAATGTTTTCTGTGGGGAAGTAATTGTTGTTGTTTTAATTGTTGATGTAGTTTCCCCTGTTATTGTTGATTTAAAATCTTCCTCCAATTTATTTTCTTCCTCTTCATTATTCTCTTCTTCCTCGCTTCCTTCTTCTTCACTTTTTCTTCCAGGCATTTCCTCATTTTTTAATTTATTTGCCACATTTTCGTTTTTTATTTGAATATTTTCAATGTTTTTCGATGCAAATAATTCTGGCCTTTTGACTGAAAATAAATTTTTTCAACAAAATTAAAATCAAAGGGATAATCTTGGATAAAAAGATTATGTAGTGTATAACAAATCCTGCCCTATCTAACTGCATTTTCTGAGTATAATTTATTGCCTTTTTATTGGAGAGTGCCTTTCGTTAAATTAAAAAACAATTTTTTCAATTACCTTTTTCAACATTTTCTTCTCTCCTCGGTATCTGCTTTTCGTAAAGTTGTTTTAATGCCTCCCTTCTATCTTCAGCCCATGGATCTTCCAATTCAAATTGCTCGTGATTTGAGTTAGGTTCGAGTGGTATTTGTTGTATTCTCTGTCTGTTTGGTGGTATTTCCCCCAAAATATTTCCACAAGGGCGGATATCCTTAAATTTCAAAAGTGTGAGGAAAAGGTTTTTAAAGTACTCTGTTTGGGCCTAAACAGCTAAATCCTCTGACTGTATTACACGCACGAACACGCATTTGGATATTGTTTGTACAGTATGACCTTAACATATTTTTATAGAAATTAATTTTCTATTGTTTTTCTGAAATTTTTTTGAATAAAATAGGATCTCACCAAGCAGACCATGAAGCCCATACAGAGGCAAATGCTAAATAATAATGAATTGTTATGTGTTTATCATGGTATTTTATACATATGGCACAGTTTACAGTCAATCCCGTTTCAAGCTATACCCTTAGGACCGAAAAACATCTTTCCTTCCTTAAGTCTTCCTTTCCCTACTATTTTACCAATTAATTGTTTCTAATCGAAATATTTATTTCGTTTCGTTTTGATTCGGAATAAAATTTTCTATTCCTATCAGCCCTGACTGAGGAATCTAAAATGCTTATGTATAATAAAAGATATCCTTCAATCCCTCCCTTTTGAAAATTTTATTTTTTAATTAACATCAATTATTCAAACTCACTAAAATGTGCATTAGATGGAATAGGTCTAGGTGTATAAAATCCTTTAAATTGGTTCCACTTTCCTGTAGCTAATGGAAGTTCTGATCGAAGAGGGATATTATTTTTCTCTTGATTTTCTCCTGAATCATTTTGAGCATCTTAAAAATTTTTTTTTTAATTTTTAAGCTATTTCTATTAAATTTTTAACTCAATATACCAATTTTTCAAAATTTTCATATTTATTATTACCAGTGCTTCGAAGCTCGTACCAAAATTCGTACTCGTACCTCGTACTCGTACTCGTACCTGGTACGAAGTACGAGTACGAGCAAAAAAATGGAGCAGGTACGAAGTACGAGTACGAGTACGAGGCCAAAAAAAGTGAAAAGTACGAGGTACGAGGCCTAAGTACGAGCTCGTACTTCTCGTACTTGATGTTAATAGGAAAATCGAAAAAAATATATTTAATTCCTTTCATTCACCGTTATATGAGCGAGTGGCCGAGTGGTTAAGGCGTTAGGCTTCACCAAAGACGTTAATGAATTAAAGGTGGGTTCGAGCCTTGTCAGAGGGCAAGGGTTTTTCAAATTTTTCTTTCCATAAATAACTTATTTTATAAGTTTAATTTTGTTTTAAAAATTTTTCTATTTTTACATGGAGAAATTATGGGTTTTTGGCCCTCTAAAATTCTTAAAATTTTTTATTGTACCACTAAAAAGTGAGTTTTTTTCGCCTACGGCCTTCCGAAATTTTCAAAATTTTCGCCTGCGGCGCTGAAAAAATAAAAAAGTTTAAATATTGGCTTTCAAATTCTAGAATTTTCGCCTCCGGCGGTCAGAAATGAAGTTAATCTGGCTTCATGACCTTCAAAATTTTTCTAAATTTTCGCCTGCGGCGCAAAAAAGAGAAGAAATCTGAGGACATCCAAAATTCGCAAAATTTTTGAAAAAAAGGGATTTGAGATGAAGAACCATGTAAAGATGGAAATTAAATAAAAAATGTCGGATTTCGAGTAGCCCGACCCATTTCGGAGGAAATATTTGTCCTTGCACTCCAAAAAACTCAAAAATTTCGCCTGCGGCGCAGAAAATGGATGAAATTGGAGGATTTATAGCTTCAAAGCCTTCCAATATTCAAAAATTATCACATACAACTCTTAAAATTTAAAAATAGATGTCCTGGACTCCAAAAATCATAAAATTTTCGATTTTTTGTTTTTTTTCTAAAGTACGAGTAAGTACGAGGTACGAGTACGAGGTACGAGGCCAAAAATAGGGGTGGTACGAGGTACGAGTACTAGTACGAGGCCTAAAATAAGAGTGGTACGAGGTACGAGTACGAGTACGAGGCCAAAAAAAGAGGTGGTACGAAGTACGAGTACGAGTACGAGCAAATTTGAAATTTCGAAGCACTGATTATTACAACCAAAAAAATCATTTCCTTTCCTATACTATTTTCCGATTTTTTATTAATTTTTCGTAGATTAAATCTTTATTTTTAGAGGAATAAACATAGAAATTAGACTATTTTTGGATATAAAGATTTTAAAAAATCAATTTTAAATAAATTTAAAAACATGTAATATATTTAATAAAATTTTTCTAATAATAAAATGAATCTTGAGAATTTATTTTAATTGAAATTAGAAGAATAGGACAATTAACCGTACATAAGGTACCCTACATAAAAAATACACACTATAGTATGTCAATAGACATAAATGTTAGGGTTGCCGGCCCGATTCGGTTCGTTTCGAAGATCGAATCGAACATCGAATTTTGGCCCTTAAAAGACTCGAACGGCCCGGGTCGATAAAAATGAGGTCCGAAAAAATGATCGTACGTCGGCCCGGTTCGAAAAAGGCAACTCTAATTAATGGAGTCGAAAATGTGTTAGGTCGAGGACTAGGATACGAGTAAAATCATTCTAGGATCCCAAAATTATTGGCAGTATTTCAAAGTTTTAAATTTCATTGTAAATAATTTAAATCTTATTGTTCT